CTGATCACAGAAACTTAGAAGAAACGACCTCTGACTCAGAAAAACAGACCTGAAGAAAAACCCGGGCTAGAACTGAAACTGGGAAACTGGAGTTTATGTCACAGTGACTGGAGCCTGATTTTGTTTTAATGGTGCAATGTGTAACTTTACTGGTGAAGGGTTCGCTCATTATTCGTCTCCATGGAGATGTTAATACTTTGGTGTAAATTGTCCAGATGAAGATATTGAACTAATCTGTCTTGCATCTACACGTGTTTAAGAGCTAAAAAATATCTTTAAAAACATCCATTGTTACAGTGAGTGGGGATTTCTCTCCAAAAATCAAACCAGTAATTTGGCTTGCAAGCCTCCATGGAGATTTATAAGTTTATGACCATACTGTGGAACATTGTAGGCACATCTCCATGGAGACAAGCGAAGTGATGAACCTGCTGTCAAACAAATGACACAGTTCACCTGTAAAATACACTGATGGTTTTACTTTGCAAATTAAACACGTTCAAGGCAAAAGTGAGTTTCATTTCCTGATGAATAAAGTCATCAGCAATACTTTGTGAAAATGTAACTGTTGTAGTTGTATATAAAATATAAACCTCAAATATTATGTAAAGAGTAGAAATATTACATCATGACTCCATCTGAGAGAAACATCTGAGATTCAACCGGAGAATTTAAGATTTTTACCTGAACACATCACCTCCACACTGTAGGGATAAGAGTCGATTTGGGGTTTCTGGATACACTCTCTCACAGAAGACATCGCCTTCACACAGTGAGATATGATGCTCCACACAGGCTCCAATCTAAAATCATATCTCTCTTTTCCATAAACAGCAGAGCCACAGTCCAGATCTCTGCACAGAACAGCTGTAGCCCCCAGGTCCCAGTCCATACCCTCCATCCGTCTCCACTCTCCTCTGTGTTTCACCTCCACAGTCCCAGTACAGCGACTGGCTCCTCCCACCAGCCTCAGCGGCTCTGAACACACAAGAGACACAGTGAAGCCCCGCCCCTTTACCTGAGCAGTGAAGCCCCGCCCCTTTACCTGAGCAGGTGAGGTTGACAGCGGCTCCAGAGGAGCAGGTCCTTGAGCCGGAGCGGGGACAGTCCATCAGAGCAGACTCATGTCCCTCACAGTGGAACGTCTGCTCCAGAGGAGAGAGCGCCCCCTGGAGGAGAGAAGGAGCCCCACAGTCCAGCTCCCTGCACAGCACCTCTGCCCCCCGCTGGTCCAAGTCCCCTTCACAGACCCAGGTCCAGGACTGGTTCCAGATCTGCACTAATCCTGAACACAGGCTGGACCCCGAGACCAGCCGCACCGAGTCTGTGGACACACACATGAGATCACCGCTCTGAGCCGAGAGGACACACGCCACATTCACCTGATCACTATAAGTTGGTTAAAAGTTGAAGGGTTCTGCAGAGTCGGAGGTCAGATCTTCTAAGTTTCCGTTGTTTCCCCTTCTCATTTCCCCTCTCACAGTTGTATTTGAAGTGATTTGGCATTTTTAAATATATCTGGTATTTGTTTCGCAAGAGGATAAACCCCTTGAGATGGAGCATCTTGTTTTCGAGGGAGTTCTCAGAACACAGCAGCAGTAAAGACATTTACAACATGGAATATACAATGCACTGGACAAAACATGACATATAAGACACACACACACACAGAACATATGGGCTCTCTAAATTAACCCACCCTCCCCAACTGTCGAGATTAGAAACAGTTACAAACAGGCTGAAGAAACAGCATTCTCAGTCAGAGAAGGCTTTGTGCTGAAATGCAGATTTACCTACTGCCTTTTTAATTCTGGGAGTATAAAAAAGAGGTGGTTGGAATGTCAAAAATTGTATGAGGAGTTACATGGGATTAGATATTGTTTTAAATATAAAGGGTAATTGAGGTAGAAGCATTTTAAAATGAATTATAACCACTGAGATCAGACTCCCTCCAGCCTGAGCGGCTCTGAACAGACAAGAGACAAAGTGAACCCCGCCCCTATACCTGTTCTGTGAAGCCCCGCCCTCCATTGACTCCATTCACAGAGATGAGCAAGAAACATCTGAGAGGAACATCTCAGAGATTCAACCTGAGAGTTTAAGATTTTTACCTGAACACATCACCTCCACACCAGAGGAAGAAGAGGATGAGCTTCCATTCAGGACACACTCTCTCACGGTAGACGTCTTCATCACACAGTAAGGTGAAATCTCCCACACATGACTCTCTGGAAAATAATCTTCGTTCTCCTCCATAAACAGGAGAGCCACAGTCCAGATCTCTGCACAGAACAGCTGTAGCCCCCAGGTCCCAATATGCACAGTTCATCCGTCTCCACTCTCCTCTGTGTTTCACCTCCACAGTCCCAGTACAGCGACTGGCTCCTCCCACCAGCCTCAGCAGCTCTGAACACACAAGAGACACAGTGAAGCCCCGCCCCTTTTACCTGAGCACTGAAGTCCCGCCCCTTTTACCTGAGCACTGAAGTCCCACCCCTTT